GATCCAGCCTGTTATAATAATGGTAACCTGTGGGATTTATCAACTTAAGGTATCAGGTACATCTGTGCACAGAAATAGGCACTACCTGAGCAATATTTTAGCCTTGGAAACCTAATGTTTGACCAGTAAATCCAAAGAAATACTGTAATGGCAGAATAAAATATATTTTTTATCTGTCTCACAAGGTATGCACACCTTAAATCCATTGTTTAGGCAAACCTCCCCTCACACAAAGAGGAAAATGTAGTGAAATAGCTGGGTTTAAAGAGTTCTCCAGTTCTTCAGGGGGAACACCTGAACTGGCACAGACACCAGCCTGAGCAAGGTGTGCCAGCCGCTGAGGTAGCCCACTCTGCTCCCTTCCCAGAGAAGGAGAGAAAATGTAATTATTCCGGTATTTCTGCATTTCTGCGATAGTTAATCATCACGATATTATTCACAGGGAGTCATTCATTAATTATCACGATATTATTCACAGGGAGTCATTCCACTCCTCTTAGGCAAAGCATTAAAAATGGTGTTCTCCAGACTATTTCTTCAATGAGCATTTAAAGGAGAAGGAAGGGGAGGGGGTTAAAGAGAATTGTCACAGAACAATTACGAAGGCAATTTGGAAGCAAGTCTGGAAACAAGTTGTAACAGAGCCAATAGCTGATTCAAATCGTTACATTTCTCCTTTGATCATCTGCTCAAACACACATCTAATTAGCATTTAATTGAGTCTACAGTTTAGCACATTATTAAACACCTGCTTGCGGATATTAATTTCTATTTCTGATGACAAGCTCTCCTGTGCAGTAATGCAGATCGGTGCTTCTTAAAAGAAGGAAATACTTGACAATGGACGAGCACCACCCCAGCTCCCAAAGAAGAACCAACTGTTTTATCAGTGCTGCACTGTGATTTCATTCCGGAATATTCATAGACATAGAAACACTTAAAAGAAACTAAAAGATTGAAAATTTTCGTATACGCCTTTCACAGAGTTTCTCTACTTAAAAGATGTTGTGATTTCTTTTCTCTTACAACTTGCATCTATAAGCAAAAATAAATTAATGCTCAGAAATTTGCAACTTGTCCTTCAAAGGTAATGTAATGGAGAGAGGAAGTGCAGCCCTCACCTGTCCTGGAACTGGCGAATTTCAGGTTATACCTATTGCAGCGAAAGGAGAGATTGCTAGTGCCACCTCTTGGTGAGAAAGGCATAGAAAGCCATCCATTAGCATAATCCCAAAGCAAGGCGTAATTGGAAAAAAATTGTGTGCTTCTAGGGAAGTGCTGACCGCTCTCACTGATCACAAGGCCAGTTACAAGAACCCTTAATTTGAAATAAGATGTTTGTCCTGTTTAATTGAATGAGGTGTCTTGTATCCCTGCAGTTAAGCATGTGCTTAAATACTTGGCTGAGTTGGCACTAAAACTGAGTTTTATGAAAGCGTTAAAGAAGATAAATCCTACGCAAAGTGATTATCTTCAACTGAAACTGAGAAAATGTTGGTTCCTAATCTTTTGCTATGTTTTTAAATACCTTCGTTGTGCTGTGATCCAAATACCTTGCATGTTTGAACCCTCCAATAGTAGCTTAATGCTAATGCCATTGTGGAGGTTGAGTGTTAATCGTTAAGATTGTGTCAGATTTCCTGATGCGGGAAGAGCTTTGGATAAATGAGTCAACACACAAACTTGTAAGAAACAGAGTCCAAAAGAAAGCTTAAATATAAAAGAGGATTAGTTAAGCACCACATCAGCATCAAGTAGGCTTGCATGGTACCATTTATATTTTACCCTGTTGAAATATCATCTGGAGAATGCTGGGCACATTTGGCTTGCTGAACTGAATCTGTGAGTCAGTGTATCATAAGAGAGGTTTGACCTTCATGATGGAAAAAGTCTTTAAGATTATTTCTGTTGAATTTCAAAAGAAGCCACACAGAGGAATCACTGTGCAGGGAGGAAAGCATGGAGGAAATCATGGAAATCTCCTCCGTGACAAAGCGTGTGAACTTTGCAGGACATTGTCTGCAAGGTTTCCCTCATAAAAATTAAAAACCGATTATCACCTCTGGACATTGCATGCACGAACAGTAGTGAACTGTCAATAAACCTAAGTAGCAATACAAAATAGCAACTCTGCCCTCCGTTTTCAAATAATGATGAAAAAAAATTACATTCTGCCTACATGTTTATTAAAAAATACAGTGATCAAAGGTATACAAAGTTTACTAAGCAAGCAATGGTCATGGCAAGCTTTATCCTTGTAAAAAAGTAAATATTTAAATGTAATAAGAAGGGAAGACATGCTAAATAGAAGTAAGGAAGCTGTCCTACCTTGTTTTAGAATGGTTTTGTCTACAGGGATACCACATCCATGTAATTTTAGGCTGAGGAATACCATACACGGTGCACGTCAACACTTGTTTGCTGCTCAGTAAATACAGATTGGGATCAGGGAATGATGACACGGCATTTTCATATATCTGGGGTTTCACTGTGAAGGGTAAAAATTGGAAAGCAGTTAAAACCAGCTCATTTCCAACGTATTGCATGATCATGAAAATACTACATTCCTGCAGGATGAGTAATAAGAAAAATCCCCAGGAGAACAAAGAAAAACAGCAGGCCTAAGTCAAGTCAGATGAGCAGTTAGTAACACATTTAAGTCATCAGGAACAAATATGTAACTGTGGAAGACAGAAACCCTTCTAATGAAAACCAGCGTCCGTCTTCTGATTCCGAGATGGGTCTGTCACCCTGCATAGGGGGCTGGGATTTGGGTCCATGAAAGTCAGTAAGAAAACCCACAACGACCTGAACTGTGCAAGATCAATGGAAATCTAGCTCAAAGAAAATTTAGCATTTACATCGGGAACATGCTGTAAACTTACCATTTACTGTAAGAGTGACGGTAAGATTCTTATACAAGTTTGACTGTCGTATGCTTAATATTATAGTGTAGTTTCCAGCATCTTCCTCAGCAACATCCTTGATGATTAACGAATAGTCTTTAACCATGTACCGGGCACACTTTTCAGCAGCAGGTAGCCCATCTTTTAACCTGTTTAAAAGAACCCAGGAATCAAAATTTTGAAAAATAATGTTGCATAAACTGCCTGCATTATTTCGTTTCACAACATTTCTCAATCTTTGGGCAAGGATTGAATTTGCCATCCGAAATTCTGTTTACAAGAGGCTTATCCTTCCTTTACAAATAAGATCGCTGATATTTATAAAGCACTTTGGAGAATACTGTACCATACATTAAAATTGATAAGGATCTGACAGGGCTCTATAGTGTTTGAGAGTTGGGGGAAATGGCAGCTCTGTGTCTGATGATCCTGGCTTTCCATGCTTGTGCTGCCATTTAGTCTAGAAGACAACCATTTTGGCTAAGAGACATTCACACAAATAAAGGTTGCGTCACCCAGCACTGACCATTTCTTTATGACCTCAGAATACATCCTAGCACAAAGTATTACAGTAGCCTAAGCACCGCTCTGATTTTAGGAAGAGGAAGAGTAAGAATAACTAGATTAGATAAGCACTTAAGAATCAGATATCCTGCTATCAAGCGAATGTTTTTAAAGATAACAGAAAATCAACATAGAAAGTGCTAACTTGCTCACACACAGATTCCTGAAGAAGCACAACATTCTTCTTCAAAGTCTAAAATAGAGCATAAAGCACATTTTGGTAGGTCAGTGTGTGAAGGTTGGCATGATGTTAGTAGAAGAGTGCAATAGAGTTTCACCAGGGTGATGGACTTGATTAAAATGATTCACAGGTTTTATTAAGTATTTACAGAAAACTCTTACTGTTATTAGAGGAGCACTAAAAATCGGGTCTAAGGACTACAGATTTAGGCATTTCACTGCATCTGTATTTTACAGAACCACAGAACAGTTGAGGCTGAAAGAGCCTCTGGAGATTGCCTAGTCCAACCTCCCGTTCAAAGCAAGGTCAGAAGGCTGCTCAAGGCCATTTTCAGGCTGGTTTTGAATATCTCCAAGGATGGAGACTCCACAGCCTCTCTGGACTACTTGTTCCAGTGTTTGACCAGCCTCACAGTGATAAATAAATAAATGAATAAAAATTCTTGTTTAAATGGATTTTTATGTATTTCAGAAGTTTTAGATCTATACGTGTGGTCAACAAGCCCAACCACTAAAGAAACAGAAAACACTGTATAAATGGCTAGCCACAGCTCCGCTTTCACCCCTTAATTTTCCAAGTGGAACTATAAATGTAAGGGTTTTGTAAAACAAAATAAAATTTTAGAGGCAAAAGTAACTCCTGGCTGTCAGTAACACGAACTCTCACTGTCTATGTATGTACGGTTTGTTTTCTTAATCAGCCTTGTCATAGACCCTTTGTTAAAGCGCAATGAATTCAGCCAGAGCTACTGGTGTTTAAGATTATTTAAACAACAACAACAAAACCCCTTGAGATCATGAATAGGTAACATTGTTTTATATAAAAGTGATTTGGGCTAATACAAAAAACTGTTCAAAAGCTTTCTTAGCACAGTATACACAAGCCGAAGTGAATGCTCCAGTCACTGAAGGAGATCTACAACCTGCAGATCACCGTATAATAAAACCAACTTCCATTGTTTTTCTAATAGCGCATTAGAAAACTAAATGCCTTAGAAATTAAAACCTTCTTTTCTCTTCTACTGTCTGGAAAGCAAGTTCAGGTCTTATATCTAGGCCTGAGTGAAGTTCAATGCAACACAAGGTTGGCAGAGATATTTAACAGTGGAGTGTCCACTGATTTCAGTAGGAGACGTATCTAACATATTTGAGGATCTGAGCTTTAAACTTTCCAGATCTCCATTTTTGCACTTGGAAAATGAAGATAATGTTCTCATAAATTGTTAAAACCCAGGACAACGCTGAAACTTCCAATAAAACTCCATAACTGTATTGTCTCCAGTCTGTTGCCTTTTCAAGGGGTCTTATTTGAATATTTTACCAAGATACTATTTTTCATCTAAGAAGTCGTCCGGTATGCCTATGTGGAAGCAACTGTTGTCCTACCATGTAACCTCTGGAGAGGGAAACGCCTTCACTTTCATTGACAAACGATAAGATTTTCTTCCAGCTACAGCCTCCAGCGCAGTTTTCCTTCGACGTTTCAAATTAATGAACATTTTATCTTAAACAAAAGAAAAAGAGTGCACTGTATTACAGATTTTCAGCCTGCAAAAAGAGTTGTTCTACCAAAGAGAACAGGAATCCAAAAAAACCCCAAAAATTTCAATGTTTCCACATGGCAACACCAAGAATAAAGCCTAATTTCCCAGAGATCTATAAAATACAGAGAAGAATACCACAAATATAAAAGAAACTGAGATATAGTTCCCAGGTCATGAATCTGCCCGGAGAAGATACACCCTAGCCAAATGCATATTGTGCTTCAGTCAGAAAAAATGGCACGAGAGAGAAGGTGGTTTGTGGTACATGGGAAGCTGAACTAGATGGCCAAGAATCACTCCTAAAGGCCAAGCATCAATGAATGTTCCAAAAGAAAATATTGTGCCAGAAGGGATTTGAGGGACCTTCAGAGAAACAGCAAAGGGAAAGGCAGAAACTTTCTTTATCATTGGTAAACAGCTGTTTCATCAAACAAACAAATCTTTATCACTTCATTGGCACAATCTCAACCTGCTGGAATTTGTTCTTTTCCAGTTGTACTTCCCCATTTCAAACTCTCTGGCAAGCTGATGGTTTTTACCAGAGGCAATGAAACACAATGTTCATACAATACATTGGAAAATATCTTTTTACACTCCCCCCCCCCCCCCCCGAAATTGCACTTGAGCAAAAGAAAACATTCAAAACATGAAAAATTGTTTGAGTGTGTCCTTTTGATAGCACCTCTGGTGTAATATTTACTCACATTATGGACTGCGTAAGGGTGTTGGATATCTGTTAAACAAGTGCAATATTTAATCACACTTGCCACATACATTGAAAATAACGTGCACAAGACAAATCAGTAGTTTAATTACACAAGTCAAGTTATAAAGATACAACCCTGATTCTGCAAACCCTTATTCACACAGGGTCTTTCTAATATGGGTACCCCATAGATGGGGCTGCTTATGCGAATAAGAGTTTACAGGCTAACTTCAACAGCTCCAGCTTCTCTGACTTTAATTCTAATCTAAAACTCAGTTTCTGACAGCTTCAGCTTATCTATTTAGGAATATAATAAGTGGATACCATGACTCATCCTATGCTCCCAGTGACTTAGTTCAGGGCTTCAACAGAGAAAATGGACTGAAATATTCTCTAAGAATACCAACATGGGGTGTTGAGTCCACACTTCCAGGTGAGAGAGAAAAGGTTGACCGCTGAATACATGGAACAAATAAATATTCTGAGCATGAGCCATCTGTAGCAGAGGTCACCCATCGACCACTTGCTCTTTAATACTAGTGATGCTCCAGAGATCCTGGATAGTCCTAATTGTAACAGGATGCCACAGAGAAGGTAGCTTCTCATAGAATCCCAATGCACAAAAGTCCTAATTCGCATAAATTTGAAATAACACCAGAAATTTCCAGATTTCACAGAAGGTCCAGGCAGACCATAGGGAACTTGTTTAAGGCTCCCACTGTAAAACCATATTGATGAGTTGCAGTATCTCGTGCTTGTTTCATTTTTTTGAATGGTCTAGCAGCTACCTGCTCCATGTAGAGCTAGTGTATCTATTTTTTTTTTTTTTTATTGGCAAACTATGATTTAACTGATTGCTTCTGCCGAAACTGACTGAGGGCAGGGCCATCACAGTATTTAGCAGACAAGAGTGATCAAACTGAACATTAACATGTCGAAAAAGCACATATTCTCTCTGGTCTCCCTACTTTTTCTGCCCACGATGAACATGTTATAAACTCACTCCCACCTTGTGTCAAGGTGTAAAGCCATCATATGACTGAATTTGGCAGATAAGCACTCAGCGCTCTACAGATCTGGAACACTTCTTACCATAAACAATGACTGTTGTGTTAACAGCTTTGATTGACGGCCCGCTCTTCACGTGACAGGCATACTGGCCTTTATCAATATCACGCACTTTGTCAACAACGAGGATACTGTAAAAAATATTGGCTTCTGTATTCTTCTGGTCAATGCGCTGCGTTACAGAACCTCTCTTCCTTGCCTATAAATGAACAAGAAAGAGCTTAATCGAACCCATTTTCATGTTTATTAATATTTTTATTTTACTGTATTGCCACCATACCTTAATAAGAAAATCCAGATCCCTCTGTATGGCACAGACAGGCAAAGAATGCCCAACATTTCCAGAGGGCCAACAATAAAAATTATAAGCAACATTATATGGCAATTCATTCCTGTCTTCACCAAAGTTGTAACAGCATCCAAACCAGTTCTTTCCAGACAAAGACCATCCCTTCTGCATGGCCCGCCACACCACCATGCCCAGCTCCCCATACTGCCTTGCCCAGCTTTGCTCGTAAAAATCCCTGAAAAATCCCCAAAGCCATGACGTGAAGAGCAGCACATAGTTCGGTGCCTGGATTCACTGCCACCGTCAGCGGACATAGAAGAAGAGGGCATTAACACAAGAAAGGGAGAACCCTGGAAACGCTGTAGAGGGAAAAGGGACTAGATTTGGCAAGGGAATCGCAGGGTGGAACTGCAGATAATGTGAGTCTGAGGAGTTATTTCCTGCAACTCCCCCTCAGCCTTTGGCCTCAAAGTTTATTTAACCCAGGACATTGCTGGTGTCTTATAAACACCGAGCACCCTTCACTTACCATCCAAATAAAAACAAAGCAGAATTTCACAAGTGTGGTGCCCGGCTAGGGCTTGGCAAGGCAGCAATGAGCAATATAATGTATTTGGAGCATTTCTTGTTGCTAAGTTTGTTATTTCTGAGGTGAAAAAAATGCTAGGGAAAATGGCTACAGCATGCAAGAAACAATTGCATTAATCTTCCCTATATAATGTAATCATAATTTCAGCTTGTGATTAGGCACAGTGAGTGACATAATAAATGATCTTGACTAGAATCACCAGCATAAATCAAACTGACATGAAAGGAATGGGAGTTGTAAACCTTAAACTAATGTCAAATTTCTTATCAGCTTTACACGGACTCCCTGGCAGTTATTCTGTAAGCGACAAATATTTATGAGGATGCTCGGATGCTCCCAATGTGGGGGGAGGAGAAGCACATTCAAGATCATTCCTGTAGCTGTCAAAACAAGAGGATTGTTCATGTCACACTTAACAAATGAGATTTTGGCTAGCTAATTCAAAATATCTTTTCTAAACACGCTCGAGTCGGGTGCCTGACTGTCTGCCAGTCTTTGAAATGAATGTGTTGAGAAAGACAGCCTCCCTGAAAACTTTTTTTTTGTCACGAGAGAGCCCCTGCCTGGGACTGGGTGATAAATTTATATCATTTCACCAGGTTGAAAAGAAGCTCCCAGGGATGAAACAATTCTAGCATCCGCTCGTGATTATGCAATATAACCAGAGTACATTGTGTAAACATGTTTACTTACTCAATTAAGCACCAGAAAGAAAAACGGAAACCTTAAGAGACATGTCATCAAGGGTCAAAAAGATGGAATGCGAACCACGGCAAGCATTTCGAGGCAAAATTCCTCCCGGGATGCTAGATGCAGCGTGATCTGTGGGAAACCCCGGGTTTCTTGATTTTAACCACAGCACCCACCTCTCCTGGATAAGTCCATGTCATCTGCACGCGGGTGTTCCAGGCTGCGGTGACAGTGCAGTTAATTGCTAGGCTGTCTCCTTTCAGCAGCTTGACGAGACGCGGGGTGCTTAACTGAACATCAAAAATCGTGTTGGCTGGATGTGATGAAGAGAAAGAAATGTGAATAACGTCACCAGGGCAGAGTGCTTTCTGAAAGACGGGGAGTGGAGAACGCTACTTACTTTCTCGGTGCGTTAGGTATTTTGTGCTATACTTGTGTCCACCGACGGTTGTCTCGCAGCTCAGGAGCCCTATGAATTTGTAGGTTGCCTTAGGTATTCTGAAGCCTTTCATGCTGTCCCAGATTATTGTCTTGCCATCAGGAATTAGGGTTTCTCGTGGAATCTGGAAGCATCAAACCCATGTCATAAAAACAACTCATCCTCATGCCACTCTCTAATCAAAGTAGCCCAATAAAAAGGAATGGGAAAAAAACACCCGAAAAAATGCCAATCAAAGTCAAAAGGATGACATTTAATTATGCAGATTTCTCAAGTCATATTTTCATCACAAAATAGAGGAAAAATCCGGGTGAAGAATGTGATGTTTTATTTGCTTCCAAGATTTCATTATTTATAACAGGATGTAATTTATGACACAATAGATTGACACTATCATTAGCCTCAGCGCTTGGGCTGCTATTCTGTCAGCTCCCGCTTGGCAGCTAAAGTGCTCGTCTTGGCGAACATTTGCAATTAAGTATCCTGGTTGCACTACTGAGACACAAACACAGGTTTTTCAACAGAGGTGACAAATGGGCTTAATTTGCTGTCATTTCGTGACTTTAATAAATTCCTGCCAGGATTCAATCTGATGCTTCTCACGTTTATGTTATCTAAAGGACTGGACTCTTAAAAAAAAAAAAAAGTTAAGGACATGAATGGCTGTTCCAAAGCCAACACGGCACAGAGTACATGTCTCTAAGTCATTACATACAACATGAAGTGCAAATTTTAAAGCCACAAAGGTTCCTTGGGCACTTTTATTGAGAAGTACTGATCATACTGAATGAGGAAAGTCATATTGAGTAGAGATTTTGAAAGAACACCTTGAAACAGAAAACACATCACATTTTCACAGAAAAAGTATTCTGCAAATTTAAAAAATTTGGCACTTCTAAGTCCTTCAGAAGCTGAGTGCCCAACAAGTAACTAGAATCATAGAATCATAGAATGGTTTGGGTTGGAAGGGACCTTAAAGCCCATCTGGTTCCAACCCCCCTGCCCTGGGCAGGGACACCTCCCACCAGACCAGGTTGCTCAAAGCCCCATCCAACCTGGCCTTGAACACTCCCAGGGATGGGGCAGCCACAGCTTCTCTGGGCAACCTCTGCCACTGCCTCACCACCCTCATCATAGAGAATTTCTTCCTTATATCTAACCAGAATCTTGCCTCTTCCAGTTTAAGGCTGTTGCCCCTTGTCCCTTAGTGTAAAGTCATCAGGTGTTTTTAAACTGAAGACCTGAAATCTAACACAGACTAAATTATTGCCATGTGGGATCAAGCGTTCACTTTGTCAGCAGTACAAATTATACTTTACATTAGGATCCTTTGAGTTTGAAGCCCCATTTTAATAAGGTACCAAGAAAACCCTGAAAAGGCAAAGCATGACATAGGCATCGGAGCTCAGACAAGATCTCTTGTTTTCCTATCACGCTTTTTTGTTATGCCTTATCGATGGAATAAATGCCACCATTTGGGTAACACAGAGATCAGCCATAAGTACAAAGCCCGGATGTAACCCTACTTTTATGAAGCCTGCTTTTATGGTAAAAATAACATATTCTTACAGACGGCACAGGGCAGAGTTTGAGTGAATTAGTGCCCTAAGCAAAGACCTCTGGGCCAAATAAGCACCTTGTAGCCCATCACCTCTCAGTGTCCACCAGGTCTCACTATGTCTCTTTCATCTCTTTCTTCCCCTTTATTTGAGCAGAGGACTTATGTGTTGGCCAGTCCTCTCCTTCCTACGGCCAAAGCCAGCATGCATGGCTGCCAGAGGCTGGGGGAAGCGTGGCTGCCTGGTACCTTCCTGCTTGCTACAGCTTCTCTCCAAAACGCGGCACCCTCGATGCTGCCTGCTTAGTGTACGCCAAAAGCCACCCTTGAGATCACCTCCACTCATCTCATACCACTTCCTCCAACTGAAACGCACGATGAATCAAATGAACAATAATTACAGAGCACAAAATGCTGTGGTAGAATTCTTTATCTTTACAACAGCTGATAAGATGCTATAATAAGCATGCAAATCATGGTGGAAGTGTATGTTACACATACACACAAGTAAAGCCCGTTACATTACAGCCTGCTGGCTACCATTCAACAATATCTTGGACTCTTAAGGGCTCTGTTGCCATTCCTGTTCTAAATAAAACAAATATTCAAGCTTTGGTTTAACTAGTTATGCTTTCAAGGGCTTCAACTGGATTTATCCTCTTGCTGCTTTGATGGAAACTAAACTGTTTCTGAGCATATTCCTCTATAGGTTTTTCATCTATACCATGAAGAAAGAGTCAAGTCAGAGTCTCAGAGCCTTAGAGCCACCTTAGATTGACATTTCCCAGGGAATGCATTCACTTCACGTTAATTAGTTAATTGATGGATTACTGAATTTGTATTAGCCTTACTCCAGGGAAGGGAAAGTAACCAAAACACCCGGGAAGTGTCCGGGTCTTGGAAACAAAGTTCTCATAAATACAATCCTGTTTTACAACACCTAATGTTCTAAGTTGCCTGTATATCACCTGCCCCAGAGGCAAATCTTTGCCTGCACAGTTTACTCACCTGAGACCCCTCAAAACCAGCTAGAGCCACAACTCTTTGAGTAAGTTTTTTTGCAGCTTTGAGACTAAGAAGTTGCACACAGTCACACATGAAAGCATAACTTGACAATTTTAAGTTACCGTAAGGAAAACTTTAGAAAACTGAAGTCTATGACTAGCAAAAGACCACTGTGATGCAGCTAGTCTCTGGCTAAGTCTTGGTAGAGGGTAAACAAGGTACCACAACGAGTCCCTTTCTGAGGGTGAAAATACCAGGATTTTGGCTGGGTGCTCACCCTCACAGCCCTTCACAGCTCTACCCTCTCTCCTTACTTGCTTCAGCTTCTTACCCAGCTCTCCTCCACGCTGTCCTCCTCTGCCAAACCCATCGGTTCGGATGACCTCTTTCCCACCCTCAAAGAAGCACATTTGCTTTGCTCTGCCCTAAACCAGCTTTCAGGACACCACCTAGAGACACGGCATCATGCCCACGATGATCACTGCATGGATGGTACAGGACAGAGGATCCCAGAATCACACAATAATTTAAGTTGAAAGGGACCTCTAGAAGTCACCTCGTACATCCCCCATCCAGAGCAGGGCCAAGGTAGTTCAGAATCTTGTCAAAAAACGTGACCATTTGGTCATCACAGAGAAAAGTAGAAAACCTATGAAGAAACGCAGTGCCAGCTTACAGATGGGTACCAGCAGAGAGTCAGAGGCATTCAAAGAATCAATTTGTTGTGACGGCTGCAGTAAACATGGAATTTATTGTCTATATATTTATCTGCAAGGACCACATCGCTGTGGTTCCCAGTGCAGTCTTGGCCTTTTACCTTCTTTATTTCAAACTAGACTTTAGTTTCTTTTGGTATAGGCTGTGCCTCCTTCTTTGCTCAGCACCAACCACTGAACCTTTTTGGTACCCAGTGGCATTAACACGGTACTACCACAAGGTTTTGGGTATATACGTATGGTCAGGAGTATATAGATGAGCTTTGGTTCCCCACGACTGCCAAGGCAGATTTTTTTTTAGCTGAAAGTATAGTAAAAATCTACATTAGAGTTTGGAATGCTTGTCTTTCCTTTCATGTTTCCCCTTCCATCAATTTGGGAAGGATGAGGTGGCATTATTAAGAATTCAAACTGTCCAGCTATGTGACTCGACATCCTTGGGTTTTTTTCTTCTTTTTATTCCTTATGCTGAAGCTTATTTATCTCTATTCCCGTTAATGTTATTGTTGACTTTATGACAGAGAATCCAAAAGGAAAGTAAACAGAGGGATCAAACCATTGTACCAAAGGTGATGCTTTCTCCACGTAGCAAGAGCAAATGAAGAGGCAAGAGAAGCGCACACCTTAGTTGCAATAAGGTTTATCTTATTTTAGGGATCTTGAGTGAGGCTGCCAGAATCATCCCGATAGATACAATGGTTTCAGAGGCTCTGGATATCTGTCTATTAAGCATTAGATTAAAACTACCAATTGATTTCACAAGTCTTCAGATGATGAGGAAGAGAAAGGGCCATCAGCTGTTGCAGATATAGGTTATAACAGGACCTGAAGGCTGAACTTGAAATAGGAATGAAAAGCTCCATCCTCATTTCCCAGTCCTTTTTTTATTAGCTTCCCGATTTTTAAGACTCCTCCTATGTTGTATATGATTGCCATGCTAAAGAATACAATTTGTGCAGATGTTCAGACTGCAAGTTAGAGCAACACAGTATCTCAAAAGAGTTGACTAAGGTAATGATGCAGTTTGAGTAAAAAAGTCATTTGTGGTGTTGAAGATGGATAAAAAACCCTTCCCACATCAGTCCACTAAAACTAAGAAGTAGCACTGCACAGGAATAAAATGCTGGAGGCAGTGCTCATGCAACTGTACCGCGTCCTTTCAGAAGAGAAAGGTTAGCAAAATATATTTAGTATTTTTACTTCCTGGCAATAAAGAATGCAGAACCTAATGGCTCTCGTGCTGGGGTTTTCCTTCCAGCTCCAGAGGACTGCATTATGGGGACACCAACTTCTTCCCTGATCGCTGAACGGCAAACACCCCAGCTCTTCAGAAGTAGTATGCCTGCAGCTGTGAAACGCATTTAACACATCTCTTAATTGCTACGTGAGCAAAAACTTGCTGGAATCTTCATATATGAGTGTCACAGATGAGAAAGAAAGTATGATGTAATGCATCGTAGCTTACATGCCTCAGGAAATTCTGGGATTAATTAAAGAACACATTTCTTTTTCCTGGAATGCAAAACATGTAAGCAACCAATCCTTTCTTTCCAGACTTGGCTCTACCTCCTCTTTCTCCTTCCCAGAGTATTACATCTGCTTTGGTGGTGTAAAGGTGTGCCTTACGCCACAACCCCAAGCTAAAGGCAAGTTGATATGAAAAAAGAGAGTAGATTTGTCTCAATCTCCTCCAAATAAGGAGAAAAATACTACTGTTATATTGTTTAATAAGAGAGAACAGGAATTTTCTCATTTAGGAGTTTGATATGCTGAGATTTCAGATGCAAAACTACAACGCGCAAATAAGATCCCACTTTACAATATCCACCCTATGGAAAGCCAAGCCTCATTTACTCTTGGTTCTATAGCCACAGAATCTTGTGCATCATCCATCCCCGGTGCACTTCTTGCAGGAGAACCGTGTGTGTGCATGTGTGCACACACATACGGTAACATTCCAGGTGAGATTTCTTTCTTTTCTCTGCATTTTGCTTTCTTTCATGTGATTTAACAAGTGACAAGCAAGAGGTAAAATCGGTACCTATGTTAGCAAAGCAGCACTGGATAGAATTTGTAAACCTCCAGGTCGAGTTAAAACACAGGATCAAATCCGTGTAAAACTCTGTAGTCAAAGAGGAATCAAAGGCTTGTATTGATCTAGATAAGAATCTTACGGTGGTATTGTTTGGCAACCACATGTTCTTCTATAAAAAGACAAATTTCCTTGTAACAATGATGAACATTTATGTCACTATGAACAGAACTCCTTTTAATTAGAAACAAAAACATCACTGGCACCTCCACATAATTTTTAAGCCAAACAAAGGAACTTTAAAAAAAAGAAGCACCTTTCTCTGTCTTGACACCATACATACATACATACATGTCGGCTAGCTGCCCATATAACTCTCAAGGCACTTAGGAAAGAAATGTTTTCCCCAAAACACGAAAAACGTCTAGTTTTTCTAAAACTGGCCCCACTGTCTCAAACTCTGCACTAATTTCTCTACAAAGTGAAGGCATCCCTTGTCTGATAAGCGCACTGGGATGTAAAAGGAAGCAGGAAAGTCACAGGTGGGAGTGAGGTCGGGCGAAGGCTTGCAGAGATCCCCGTACAGCCCCAGGAGATCCCCCGGGATGGCACTTACCGGCTGCTCCGAGGGCAGAAGAGGAAAAGGGAGGAAGGGCAGGGGAAGAGGTGGGAGGAAATCTCTTCTCCTAACAAGAAATTCCTTCCTGGCCTTAAGAAACCTTTGTCAGTGAAGATTTTATAAGATGGCAGGAAAAGTTTAAGTTTCTTCAGAAAATTCCCATCCAGTGTAAAAGATTTGATGAAGCCCTTCTGTGAGATATGAGGCGAAGCCTCCAGGGTGGAAATATTTCTAAACACACTGACACCCAGAAACATTGTGTAAGAAATACTGAATTGTTGAAATCTTTTTAAAGCTTTACAATAGTTGTAAACAAACAAAAAAAAGCATCATCCACAATACCACTTTCAGAGCATGCTTGGATTGAGGTACCTTTTTTAAAGTAACAGTAATGTTTGGTGCTGTGACTCTGCACGGAATGATCATTTCTCTTCCCACAGTCATGTGTATTATTTTAGGTATATCACTGTGCATCTCTACAAATGGATTGCCTGTGTCTGCAAGAGAAGAAAAAGAAAAGGTTAATATCTTCAATCTTAAGACGGTGTATGGAAATTGTAACCGTGTATACAGCCTTGAAAGAACAGATGAACCCTGTCCATAACAAAAGCTAGATGAAGTCCTCAAATCAATCTTCTGTTTACTTTTATCTAAACAAGTCCAGCAAAATATTATTAAATATTTGAAAGTATATTTATCACTCAATATCAATAGCAGTACTTTGGTATATCCTTTAAAATCCAGGACAGTTGAAGTACATTTTTCCCATGGCAGCATCATCTCTACTGCCGAGATATGCGTTTCTTATTTCAGGGCATATCTATTTTATTATCACCAGGAGAAGTAATTATATGGGAAGGGAGCCGAAATTCACTTACCAGGAAACCCCAACACAGGACATGTTCCTGCTCTCTGCCAGGAAATTGATGGGAAAAACTCACATCGACTTCACCAGGAGAAAGAATCTACTGTGATTATCCAGCCACATTTTCAACTCTGAGAATATGGACTAGCGAGAGTTAATTATTCTCCTCCTTCCCACTATCACAATACCTATATGTCTCTTTTTTAAAGTGACAAGGTAAATGAAAATGCCAGGAAAACGTTAATTCCTTTCGACTCAATAATTAAAGCTTGGCAGAGTAATTTACCGTCCCTTGAACAATCCCTTTAACAATGGCATTGTCATAAATAGCTTGTGCTGGGAACAGGGAACATTGCTGCTGCTATTGTTTGGACCTCTTAACAAAGAGGGGCTCAAGCCACAGGCTCTGGCTCCAAATCTTCTTTGCAGGTGTTCAGATCTGAAGGTTCGGCTAGACTCGCATCGCAGATAGACTACCTCAAAATTCACATAAGGTTTGGTTTTTAAAAAAGTTTTTTAAAAAAGTTGGTTCTTAAAAAAGTGGAACATTCAGATCTTAATTCTGTGCTTATCTACAGCTCCAATGTTTTTTCAGGCAAATCCTATTATTTTCACTTTGTCAAAAATCTTACAAATAACAATGGAAATCTGTCTTGGATAAGAAATGAGTAAAGCTAGCAAGAACTGACCCTTTATAAAACCTCAAATTGTAATACTTTATTCAAGTGTTCTGCTCCCAGACTTCTGCATGTTGACCTGTGTCCACTCAAGTAGTTCTTCAAATACATTACTTTTGCTTCTGTTTCAAAAATGTGATCTGCACTTCCCAGTGTCCTAAAACTGTTCTGCCCTTAGGATCTTCTTTTATTATTATATGCACTAATATTTTTTGTTTGAGACATCAAACAGGAAGAGAAGCAAATTCTACTCTAATTTGTACTGGGGAGAATCATAAGGTAGAGTATCTCAAATGTATCCCAGGATACGGAAAAGGTTTTCCTAAAGAGGTTTAATGAAACTGTTACCCAAACTTTCTGAAATGAAAGCCACAATGTTTTATTTAATAATTGGTGTTAAGTGTCCACTGAGATTGCAAAAGGAACTTATGAGTAATAGAGGATGCGTATGTAATAAAAAATACCCTAAGGACTTGTTAGGCTGATGTTTCCTCTGCAGTGCGATTCAAGGAAAGACCACGAATGAACCTGTTTGTAGCAATGGTGAAAAGAACCTTTTTTGTTTCAGGGGCTGCAGCCACAGAAGAGGTCACCTGCCCCTTAACATCACCAGACAAACCGATTTACTGCTCCCCAAAGACTCGTTTGTCTTTGTCACAAAATTAAGAGCTCCTGCCCAAAACCAGCAAGCTTTGCAAATTAGTTTCCTGTATCACAATCTCCAGATCATTACAAGTGTGAGGAAGAGCTGTTCTGGGGACTACCGGTGCTGTCTGCAGACAGAGTGTCACCACTGACTGATGCCAATATCGAGGCAGTGGGGGCTGTGCGGCTCAGACTTTGCAGGATTCCTGCCCATCCGAAGGCAGGGACAGGAAACGAGCACAAAACACCACAGTTTGGCTTTTTTTTTTTTTTTTTTTTTTTCCTTCTTATTCAATGGAAACGCACATTCGCAGCTGGAGAAGTCAATGAAGTGCTCTGTAAAAGTCAACTAAACACCCTGGCTGCTCTTGGTAGGCTTTAAAGCTCAGTCATGGCCTTTCTTGGTGCACTCCCCGCAGTGGTACGCCAAGGCGTCTCCGTGCCCCCGCTATTCGCGTGCAGAGCTCCCATTGACATCACCGGGGACTTCCGCCATGGGCCGGAGGGCAATCGATGGCCCCAAGTGCTCCAAATGTCTTCCTGCTTTTGATTAAAAGAAATACGCATCATGTTTCCTAGCACAGTTTTGTTTTCATAATGAGTGTGGAGGCTTTTCCTGATTCCCTTTGATTTTATTCTCCTTCCGTCTTAATGGCCATAAGGGGATACTCTCGGTGCCTCAAGACCAGAACCTGGGCTCTACCAGCCTGGATTAGGCACAGCTGAACGCACAGCAGCACCAGGGCAGGTTACGCCACGTTGGCAAGGCATGTCAATGACGTGGAATCCTTCTGTCCCCTAAATAATAGCAGTCCTTGTTTCTTTTTTGC